CCCCTACAGTCCTGATGCCCATGCCCCACCTTCTGAACTGACCCCACTCTAAAATATCTTTAAATCTGCCTCTAAAGATGCCACCCTCTCTCCCCATTCCTAACCTCTCTATGTAGAATTCTCTTCTGGCCTGTGAGTTTCTCCTCCAGAACGGGGCGAACGTGAACCAAGCGGACAACCACGGCCGGGGCCCGCTCCACCACGCAACCATTCTTGGCCACACGGGGTAGGGGCGGCGGGGATGATGACCTTGGGGAGGAAGGCTCCGGACGGCGTGAGAGGCCGGCTGAACCTGACTATCCTCTCCAGGCTGGCCTGCTTGTTCCTGAAACGGGGGGCCGATCTGGGAGCTCGGGACTCTGAAGGCAGGGACCCTCTCACCATCGCCATGGAAGCAGCCAACGCTGACATCGTCACCCTGTGAGGATGCCTCAAGGGGCGGGGCTCGCGCTCGCACTATCCACTTGGGGCGGGGCTCACGCCGAGACCCGAACGTGCCAGGCGGGGCGCGGGGAGGGGCGGGGCCAGCTCCTGGACCCGGAGAGGAAAAGAATGCTCTGAGTGTTGATTGGGGCGTGGAGTAAGAAGGGGGGCGGGGAGGTCCGAGGATGGTGAGTTCGTGGTGAGAGGCATCATTGTTGTAAAGCATCTTTTGAGCGCGACCCTGGGGAAACATGAATAAAACAACCCACTCAAAGTTTGGGAAGTTGGGGTGGGGGGAGTGAAGAGAATGTCATTCATTCCTTAATTCCTTCCCCTTCAGACTACGATTGGCAAAGATGAGAGAGGCCGAAGCGGCCCAGGGTCAGGCAGGTAAAGTACTCTCCGCCCCCGGCCCAACATTGTAATTCTGGGCGTCTGGCCCCTGACGACCCGTTCCCCTAGTGCCCAGCTTGATTAATCTCATTGTTTATTCAACAAACGTGTATTGGGCGCATCCGACGCGAATCCAGGAACAGAGCAAAGAATAGGCGAGGGCGCTGCCCTGACAGCGCAGATGTGCCCTCCACCCACGCGGGAAGCGCGCGCCCTTAGCAGGCCAGCTGCGCAGTCCCCACCATGCTCTTCCGCGCTAGGGCCCGGTCCTCCAGCCTCCCAGCCCTTCCTCCCTCCCCTCAGGGGACGAGACGTATCTCGACATCTTCCGCGACTTCTCCCTCATGGCGTCGGACGACCCGGAGAAGCTGAGCCGGCGTAGTCACGACCTCCACACGCTGTGATCCCAGGCCTTCGCGGGTCCACACCCCCAGCCCCCCCCTCCCCACCGCCCGGCCCTTCGCCATTAAAGCCTTCGTGCTTTGCTCCCTGCTTCAGAGTTCATTTATTGGGCGCCACCTTCGGGCCGGCAAGGTGTTGGGCGCCGCGGGTCCGGGGTGCGGGAGCGCTTGGGAGTTGGCGACTCCCAGGGAGTGAAGTGGCAGCTCGGGCCTCAGCCCTAGCACCTGGCGGCCCCGGGGCGGGGCTCTCGGCTCAGGCGACGTGGCCAGACGCGGCCGGCCGGGGAGAGGCCGCTCGCGTGGGCTGGGGGCCGGCCTTTCCTTGGTGGGGGCTGGCGTCGCGCCGGAATGGCGAGGCTGCTCTGGCCACCCCGGCCCCGAGGCATCCCCGGAATGCGGCGGCTCAGCACCCACCCCCTCGGGAATTCCCTAGGGAAGCGAACTGGTTCCCAATTCCGGACGGCCGGGCCTCGGTTTCCCGAGTGGAGAAAAGTGCACTCCGGGAGAGGCTGGAGACTCGAGGTTAGACTCGGGCCCTCGCCGAGTTGCAGACGTGCGATCGGGCACACCTGGGGGCTGGCGGGGCTGTCGCGGCCACATCCGTAGCGACGCGCCTGAGTCACCCTCCGGACCCACCCCCGCTTGCGTCCGCCAGTCCAGCCTGTCCGCCCCGTCTCTCCGGTTCGCCGCGCTCGGATCCCACCTCCACCCGAGCAGCGCGAGCCCCGCGGGGGCGGGGGGCGGGGCGCCAAGGGGGCGGGGCTGCCTCTTAAAGGGACCCCGGCCACTGCCCTGAGGCCACTTCCTGGGGGCGGAGAGGACTTCAGCTGCTGCGACGACACCGGGGAAGGCGGCGACGCCCGGGTCCCGAGACTCTCGGCTACTTCCAGCAGAGTCCTCTGACACTCCCAGTTCGGACTCAGCGGGCATTGTCGTTACCCAGCCGATACAGAGGCACCTCCGCCATCAGCTCCAGTCAGCCCTGTCTCCATATCCTGGGACCCGTGCCGGAGCCAGGCCAGGCCAGGCCTCTGACTGGCCCCCGGAGCCCTGCGTGGACTTGCCCCCGGCGACAGAGATCTGCCTGGGAACTCAGAAGCTGGACCCTTCAAAGAGTCGGCCTTGTGCTCGCCACCGTCACCTACTGGTTGAATTCCGGAAACCCGCTGTCTGAGGACCACAGAAAGGAATCGCTGACCACCGGAATCGGATGCGTCTGGACCGAAATCTCCCTTCCTTCCCTTCTGGCTACCCTCTGCTCTTTTCATCGGTTCTCTCAACCTTTCGGGCGTTTCTGTGCCCGGAAACCATCCCCCACTACCAAGGTAGCTGGGGTGAGCCCCAAATCTTGCTGCCTTGTTCTCCAACCTGTGCCTCCAACACAGGGAGTCTGAATCTTACGACCCAATTCTGCACATACCCAGGAAGTTCTGCCTTTTCTTCTCTTTCGGTGTCTCCAATACTCCCCAAAATTTCCCCTCCTCCTGTGCCCTCTTCGACCCCCTCCTTTGGGGGCCCCGTGACCCTGAATGTGGGGGGCACGCTATATTCCACCACTTTGGAGACTCTGACTCGTTTCCCAGACTCCATGCTGGGGGCCATGTTTAGGGCGGGCACCCCCATACCCCCCAACCTCAATACCCAGGGAGGTGGCCACTACTTCATCGACCGAGATGGCAAGGCCTTCCGGCACATCCTCAATTTCCTGCGGCTGGGCCGCCTGGACCTGCCCCGCGGATATGGGGAGACAGCACTTCTCAGGGCAGAGGCCGACTTCTACCAGATCCGGCCCCTCCTGGATGCCCTGCGGGAACTGGAGGCCTCTCGGGGGGCCCCTGCACCCACAGCTGCCCTGCTCCACGCAGATGTAGATGCCAGCCCCCGCCAGGTGCACTTCTCTGCCCGCCGGGGTCCACACCACTATGAGCTGAGCTCTGTCCAGGTGGACACCTTCAGAGCCAACCTCTTCTGCACTGACCCTGAATGTCTGGGTGCCATGCGAGCCCGATTTGGTGTGGCCAATGAGGACAGGGCAGAGGGAGGCCCACACTTTCATCTGGAGTGGGCCCCCCGCCCCGCGGAACTCCCCGAAGTAGAGTACAGGAGACTGGGGCTGCAGCCACTGTGGACTGGGGGGCCAGGAGAACGACGAGAGGTGGTGGGCACGCCGGCCTTCCTGGAGGAGGTGCTGCGGGTGGCTCTGGAACACGGCTTCCGTCTAGACTCCGTCTTCCCTGACCCTGAAGACCTGCTCAACTCCCGATCTCTGCGCTTTGTCCGGCACTGAGGACTGAAAGTGCTGCCCTCAGTTTGACTTGGGGCGGGGGGAGTGGGCAGAAAGGGGGATGAAGGCTCCCCTGAAGCCTCTTTCTAGTTCTGCTTTGGAAGCTGTGAGAGTCAGGGGTCCCACTGCACCTGACTGGAGCCCAGTTGGGGGCAGGAATTCCCAAACCCGAGTCCACTGAGGGCTCACAAGTGGTCCAGAGGCTCTGGACTGCTGCTTTTCCTGGGAGGGGTGGGAAAGGTTTCCGTGACTTGTCTCCTGAGGCTGGGGACCTCCAGTGTTTCTTTGGTGGGAGCTCATTATTCAGGGGTCTGGGAAGGTAGCAGAACCCTGGAGGGACACTGAGGTCTGGGAGAAAAAGGGACTTTGCATTACTCTAATGTGGTCTCCTGGACGTGGCTTCTCCTCCTGGAGCTGGGTGGCCTGGTCTGGACTGACCAATGAGAGGCCGGAACACTCTGCAACATGGAAAGGGAGATTCTTTGCTGTGTCCCAAGCCACGTACTAAGGGAGACAGAAAGGCTACACCCCACCCTAGGCTGGCATAAGGGAGCTAGGAGAATCCCCATTAACTATGGGGCTAGAGCATCCCTCTGGAGAGCCAAGTGTTTTAAAGGATCTCATATTGATGGTGGGGCTGGCCATGGGAAAGAGGGAGGCATCTTCTTGGGTCCTGCCTTACTTCCTTCCTGTGTGTGTGTGTCAGCCAGTGTGTCTGACTGATGTGTGGGTCCCTGACATCTGGGCTCCCATCTGTGTTGCTGGAGACAGCATCTGTGTGCTGGTCTTTCTGTGATCTCTGTGTGTCCTGGCCTGTTTGGGGTTGCCCAGCAACTGTTTGGCACTGGGTGTGTCTGGTATGGGTGTGAGTAGATTGAGAATTAGTTTAATCACAAAGGGTGTGTGTGTGCACGCATCTGCGTTCACATCACCACGCAGGCAGGAGGTGTCTGTTGGGGTTTGAGTCACTAGGATCTTGTTGGTGAGAAGTAAGAGGAGTCCCTGGGCTTAGCTGGGCCTGGAGAGGCCTATATAGGACTCTTGGTTGCTAAGGCAACCATGGGCCTGTTGCTAGGAGATAGCTGGGGAAGGCCCAAGGCTGCCCAAGACACAGAGGAGATGAAGGGAAGAGTTTGAGGGAGAATATGGGAAGGGCTGGGATTTCTGGGTCCCTGAGGGGATGGGATACTCACACAGAACTTCTTCACTGGGGGAGTCACTCATTTATCACTGGCCGTGATTTACAAGAAGAAAAATAAAATTGCTTTTGGAACCACAGACTTGTAAAGGCTGCTGAGGGCCAGATTGGGGGTGCTGTCCTCCGTGCAGCAGACGCTCTGCTTTCTCCACCTATCTCCCACTAGAGTGTCTTCTAATCTCTAGTTCCCTGGACCCCATGTTTACCCCAGCCAGGGATGGAGCAGTGAACTGTTCTGGAACACTCTAGAACCTCCAGGCAAAGGGCTGGAACCAGGATCACAGAGCATTCCAAGGCCCTCCCAGCCTAGGTGGGGCCAGCCTCCTTTCACTACCCACAGTGGGCCTCATGTGGATGCTGGCACTAGGTGGGGTTTTCCTGGCAGCCGCCCAGGCCTGTGTCTTCTGCCGCCTCCCAGACCGAGATTTGTCAGGCCGCCTGGCTCTGCTCTGCAGCCAGATGGAGGCCCAGTGGAGGGACTGTGAGGCCTCCTGGAACTTCTCGGCCTTTGCCTTAGGTAAGACCAGACATCCAGGGACAGGCCCAGCCACAGTCACCCCCACGTCCCAAGAGGGGCAGCAGGTGGTTTCCCGACTGTGCCCCTCAGCTGTCGCCTCAGCCCTCTCTGCACACGCTGGCCTTTCCCTCTGGGAGAGCTTCAGTCCCCAGGAAAGTCAGGAAAGACCCCAGAACCTCCTTCTGGGCTGATGAGGAAATCGCTGGTCCTTGCTCATCTCCACAGATGAGGTGTCCATGAACAAAGTCGCAGAGAAGACTCACAGAGTCCTGAGGGTCATGGGTGAGGTCAAGGGGGTAGGCGTGACCTAGGGCCTTGGATGGGCACCAAGGAGGGGGATGGGAGGAAGGGGCTGGGGAGGCAGGGAAGGGTGGAGAGCAGGTGGAGACAGGAGGGCGTGATGGGGAGGTGCTGGGCTAAGGGGTGGAGGTGACCTGGCCCTGTTGAGGCCCTGGGCAATATAGCTGCTCTCTGCCTCCTCAGAGATCAAAGCGTCTCTCTCCTCACTCCCTTCCTATTGGCAATGGCTTCAAAAGACCAAGCTCCCTGAGTACACCAGGGAAGGTACTGATGCGGGTAGGGGTAAGGGGTGCCTATGAACGCAGGCAAAGGGGTGTGTGGCTGAGCGACTCATTTACCCCCACCCCTCCTTGTCTCATTTCAGCTCTCTGTGCCCCCGCCTGCCGTGAGTAGAAAAGGAGAGGGGTAGTGAAGACAAGGGGCCTCCGGGGTACCTAAGAAGAGCCTGGCAGTTAACAGGGAGGAAGTGGGATCCTCTGGAAGGGTGGAGCTGGCGCTTCCCCTCCCCAGCTCTGGTCCTGCCGTCTCCTGCAGGGGGCAGCACCACCCTGTACAACTGCTCCACCTGTGAGGGCTCGGAGGTGTACTGTTGGCCCCGAAAGCGCTGTTTTCCAGGTCCTTACTCCCCACCCCTGCCTCACCCCACTCAGATCTCTGAGCTCTTAGGCTTCCCCAACGTTGACTGGTGTGGTCCCCAGGATCATTCACTGCCTCCTGGGTTCCCTGCAGGAAGTCATGATCTTTGGGAAGCCAGGATTCTGGTCCTCTCTGTCTTCGGAGCTGTCCTGCTCCTGGGTGTTCTGAGCCTCATAGTGGAGTGAGTTGGGGGATCAGGGCAGGAAACAGCCTCACCGCCTCCACCTCCAACCAGCCCAGTGCTTTCCATCACCTATCCTTCCTCCTTCCCTCCCAACTCCCTTCCCTTCCTTCCCAACTCCCTTCCATTCCCTTCCCTTCCCAAGCCTCCCATCTTGTCTTCCCTCAGGTCCAGCCATCTCAAAGCAAAAAGTAACTTGTGAAGATGCTGACAGCCTCCCAGCCTCCAGTTCTAAGGAGCATGTACCCACAACTTCCACTTCCTGGGGGGAGGTGGGGCAGGGAACCAGCCAGCCCCTCAGTTCCAGCCCTAAAGCTTTAGTCTTCCAGACCCTAAAACCCAGATATCCCCATGATCCTAGTGTCAGACAGCCTCCGGGGACCCAGGCACCCGCAACTGTAAAGTTCCTACCCTCCAAGCCCTCAACCAATCAGATAGGGGCAATCCGATGCCAGGAAATATCTACAGAAGGAAAGAATCCCCTCCACACACACCACCATTCCCACACCCCCTTCTGCCTGTTCCTGGGAAGTGAAGTGGGGGCTGTCTGGCCCAGAAGCTACTCTTGGCCCTGTATGACTGACTGGGAATCCGGGAATGAGTGTTCTGGAAAACTCCCTCCCTCTACAGTGAGACCACATCAGTCAGTCTGCTGGCATGCTATCACCCCATTGTGCAACCTCAGCCTCCCGCAGAGGTCTCCCTCCTGCCAGGCCCAACTAAACCTGCTGTCAAATTGCCTCTACTGCTGCCTGGCCTCTGTCTGCAGCTAGGGAGGGCATCCGTATAGCAGGGTGGGGGGTGGTTGCACCGCAAGAGACATTTGGCAACATCTGGAGACATTTTTGGTGGCTTTGACTGGGGAATATGCTACTGGCATCTAGTGGGTAGAGACCAGGGATGCTGATCAACATCCTAAAATGCACAGCAGAGTCCTCTACAACAAAGAATGATCCTGTCCGAAATGTCAATAGTGCGTGGTTGAGAAACCTTGGTGTTCAGTCCCCTGGCTATCAGTTTTTTGGTTTGGGGGATGGGAGATGGGACATGAAAAGAGAGGCCTGTCACCAACCACAAGTCTCAGTCCAAGGGCCTAGGCCTGGAAGGGATTCTGGCCCTCACCTAGCCCAGTGGTTTTCAAACTGGGTACCTGGAGGCTCCAGGGCAAGGATCTCAACCAGCTGCACATCGGAGTCACCTGGGCCTCATCTCCAGAGACTCTGAATTTAGTGGTCTCATATGAGGCCTCAGTTAATCTAACTTACAGCCAGGGTTAGAACCACTGTTTTGGGGTACTCATAAAGGTCCTGGGGATAGGGAGAGGAATGCCTACCCCCTCCAGGAGACTTCATTCTATTTTGTTTTACACATTCTAGCCCAGTCCCTTCATTTTACACACAAAAAATGCTACCCAGATATCATAGAGCAGGATCATACAACTTGCCCAAAACAACTCGTTCATCCATTCATTTGACAAATACTTAGTGAGTGCCCGCCCGGTGCCAGGCGGCATTACTGCCCATGCTGGGATGAGAAGCCACGTCCCCTGGCTGCCCAGGCACCATAGCTCTCCTGTGGTCTGCAGGAGCTGCCTCGTACCCTCCTATGCTGTACCCTTTTTCTAGGCTCAACACTTTGGAGTTGTCCTTGTTTTCACACCCAACATCTCTCCCCATTCTTGAAGGGCCTCTATCCTGTCTGTCCCCTCCTCCTGCCCTTTGGCCTCCAGCCCACTCTAAAACTCTCTCACTGTGGACCCCAGTCTCCCAGATGTGCCGAGGAAGATGTCCCTGAGCTAACATCTGTGCCAGTCTTCCTCAATTTTGCATGTGGGTCGCTGCCACAGTGTGGCTTGACAAGTGGTGTAGGTCTGCACCTGGGATCTGGCCTGCAAACCCCGGGCCACCAGGCCACCAAAGCGGAATGTGCTGGACCTAAGCACTATTCCACGGAGCTAGCCCCCACACTGCTCTTCTTAAACCTCCACATTGCTCACACCTCCTGTCCAGCATCAAATGATGGTTAAGAACCTGGGCTGTGGAGTTGGGCTACCTGATTTCAAATCTGGCTCTGTCTCTTACTGGACTTTGGGAAAGTTATTCTCCGTGCCTGTTGCCTCATCTTTTAAATGCAGATCATGTATTTCATTGATTCTATGGGCATTTTTTTTCTGTTTACATTTTAACATCTCTGAAGAATCCACCTTAAATTGAAGACATGTCATGGCATAGTGGTATATATTACAATTGATGATATTGTCAATTCAATGTAATGCAACAGCACTTACCTTACAGAATTACTGTGAGGTCCAAATAAGTTCATATAAAATGCTTGGGACTGTCCCCGACATATAATGGGCCCTCATTAAGTATTAGCCATAATAATCTCTTACTTAAAACCCTTCCCTAGCTCTTCCTTGCCTACAGAATACAGACCTGGCCCTTACCCTGACCTTCAAGCCTCTGCATCAGCAGCTGCCCCCTGCCTTATTTTGTCCTCAGGCCAGAGCTGTCCAAACACAGATTTAACTGGAATCTCTGCTTGGATGCCCCACAGGCATCTCAGACTCCACATGTCCAAACCCACCTTCCTCCCAACCCCGCCCACCTCTTGTAATCTCTCTCAAGCTTAAGGGCAGTGCCAACAGGGTCAAGGACCTCTTCCTCTCATGTCACACACCCACTTCTCATCAGCAAGTGATCTACCTTTGTAATACTTCTTGGAATCTGGGCCCCACGTGTCCCTGGAGCTTTCTCTCCCAGCACTGCGCATCCCACAGCCACACTGAATCACTTGTAGTTGCCCAAACACTATGTCTTCATGTCTCCTCACCTTTGCCCAGGCTTGTTCCCGGGATGCCCTTCTCCTTTGGCTCAGACACTGCCTCTTCTGAGAAGCCTTCTCTGAGCCCCTGAGACAGGGTAGAGTATCCCTTCTCTAGGCATCTCTCATGTGGCCTCTGTTATATCAGGTGGTGAGGTTTCTTTATACATCTTCCCTCTACACTATGCACTACCCTATAAAGCCACTACCCAAGGTTTTGTGTCTTTGTTTCCTCAGCGCCCGGCACATGGTAGACACCAGGAAGTGTCCTGACAACTCTAGCCCCTTTGCTGAACCCTTGTGATATGCCCTCCCCACGTAAGCTCTTCATGAACACGTAGCACAGGAGGCTAGTGGAGTTTGTTTCTTTTCTGGGTACACAAGGCCAAGCCACCAGAGTGTGGCCTGCTGGGGCAGGGCTAGATTTTCTGAGCCCCTCACCAAACAGGGGAGGCTGCTGTGGGTGTGGCAGTTTTAAACAATGGTCCCCACATTCTTTGACATGCCTCCTACCAAGAGGTAGGGTCTACATATCCTTCCCTTGAACCTGGGCTCCATGAATGGCTGACCAATTCATTGAATGCGGCAAAAGTAATGCTGGGCCGCTGAGCCCAGGCCTTAAGAAACCGGCACCTTCTGCCCTCTGCTTCCAGAAACCAGTCACCATGCGATGAGGATACCCAGCCTACATGAAGAGTCCACATGAAGGGTTTGGCCAAAAGCCAGCATCTACTGCTGGACACATGAGTGATAATACAGCCTCCAGCTGTCAAGTCTCCCTCATACTTTCAGTTTTTCCAACTAAGGCCCCAGACATAGTGGAGCAGAGATAAACCATCCCCACAGTCCTGTTGGAATTCCAGATTCTCAAAGTCCAGGAGCATAATAAAATGGTTCTTTTATACTACTAGGTATTATTACTTAACTATAGATAACTGGATCATTGGGGCAGAAAAAGAAGCCAAGGACTTGGCCCTACAGGCCCTGGGTTCATGACATGGCTGGCCCTGAAACTGCCTAGCTATGTGCATGAAAAACATCACTTCACCAGCCTAAGCTTCAGTCTTCCTACCTGTAAAATGGAATTAATGATGGCTTACACATATGGAGACTGTATGTTAGACACCATTCTAAGCGTTTTATGGATTGTATTAGTTATCTATAGCTGTGTAACGATTTATTCCAAAACTCAATTGTCTAAAACATTTATTATCTCACAGTTTCTGTGGATCAGAAATTCAGGGGCAGCTTCACTGGGTAGTTCTGGCTCAGAGTTTCTTATGAGGGTGTAGTCAAGATGTTGGTCAGGGCTGCAGGAATCTGGAGGAATCTAAGGTTTGACTGGGGCTGGAGGATCAGCTTCCAAGACAGCTCACTTGCAGGCCTGGTGAGTTGGTGTTGGCTGCTGTCAGGAGGCCTCAATTCCTCGACACGTGGAGGCTCTCCATAGAGCTGCTTGAGTGTCCTCATGACATGGTGGCTGGCTTCCCCCAGAGCGAGGGTTCCAGGAGGGGAAGTCACACTGTCTTTTATGACCTAGCTCGGAAGTCACACACCATCCTTTATGCAATATCCCATTGATTACACAGATCAGCCCTATCCTTTGTGGGAAGGCACTATATAAGTGTGAATATGGGGAGGGGAGTTTCATTGGCAGCCATTTTGGAGACTGGCTACCGCATACGTAGACACAGTTAATTCTCCAATAACTCCATAAGGTAGATACTCCTAATAGGCTCATCATGAAGATGAGGAAACAGAGGCACAGAAATGTGAAGTGACTTGCTCATATTCACAGGATGGTATGAGGTAAAGCTGGGATTCAAACTCAGGTAGGCAGGCTCCAGAGGGAAGGTCTAAGCTACCATGCTGTAAAGGCCCTCAGCTCCATCGGGAGCTTGAAGGAATATTGTAGATCTAAGAGTACTTCCACTTTGGAAAGCAAACTAACAGATACATACAAGGTGGTGGACTGGTGACTCTAAAAACTAGTAAGGCAAATGCAAATTGGGGAAGAAAGGGACTTCATGGACCTGGGACATGCAGATGGGGTGATGGAACAGGAGGGTTTTATCCAAGGGTCTGGGAAGAGCCAACCATGTGGGGCAAGGGAGTGCCACACAGTGGGGATGGGTTCACCAGGAGAATGCTTATGGGTTAGGTTTGGAAACTCCCATCCCCATCACTCCCAACAAAGGAGCTCTTGATATCAAAAATCTCCTTTGCTTCACCCTACCCAGATGACTGTCTCATCAACAAAGATCACTGAGAACTTATCATATGAGCCAGGCACTAGGCTGCACATGGGGGACATAGCAACGCTCAGCCAACATGAAGTCCTTTTCTACCTGGAACTTGGAGTCTAGCCGGGGAGACAGACAAGTTACTGGCAAATTCCACCAGAATAATGAATGCAATGACGGGAAAGCACAGGGATCTTGGGGTGCAGGGGAACAGACCTGACCAGTTAGGGTTAGGCTTCCTGCACTTAGCAAGGCCACATTGGGATAACGGTGGGAAGAATTCCAAGAAGAGGGAACCGCCATGCCCAGGCTCAGAAGAGAGAGAGCCAGAACTCTGAGGCTGCCCATGTTGAGAGGTGGACATGGGTGAAGTAGAAGCAGGAGAGCCCAGTGATCCCAGGGATCAGAGCAGGAAAGGAGGAGCTAAGGGGGCACTAATGTAGCTCCCAATGGAAACAGAGAGGTTTCTGCGCAGGGACGGGACCCACTCCCAACCCAAACCCAAGGCTGGAGGGGTGTGGGAGGGAACATGTGGGTGCCCTCTCTGCTTATCCTCCTGGTTTTCTGCCCTGTGGGGCAAGACTTGGCTCCAGTGGTGTGAATGTGCTCATCCTTCTCGGATGTACAGCCTGCAGGGCAGGGCAGAGGTTGGGGAAAAGCAGATGGAGGAGGGT